ATCCTGGCAATTTTCTTCAATAGATTAACTGCCGAAAGAATTTTGAAGCTTTCCAGAATATCGAGAGATTACGTTAGTTTTAATGGCACTGCTGTTTTATTTAGTATTCTAAAGTTAATGGTCTGTGTGTTTACGAACTTTCTTATCTATCAGCCATGAAACTGATTAAAAATCCCTCAGTTAAAAACCTCCTCATATTAAATCCAGTACAGCAGTACAGTATCAGAAACATTCATACAGAAATAGTTTTGTAACTAAACATGTGCAAACTGATGATTATTTTCCAAAATATATTATTAGATACATAAGATAGAAAATTTCGTTTAGCTAAGACTAATCAATATGCAGAGGACAACATATACGCAGTGTTAAAACGAATTTTCAGGAAACAAACAAAGGGGGAAAAAATCCTGTAAACCCTTCTCTAGTTAAATTACCGACAAGAGGTAAAGGTACGAATCCTGTAATTAACTGGTTTAGGAGAAAAGAAAAGCTGTACCCAAGTTTTATATTCTTCAGTGTTATTAATCCACTACAAAGACACTTATAAAAACAGATCTGACCAACTTGGTTCAGGTGCTTTAATGAACAATTTGTTTTAGAAGTATACTAATAAACTGCAGAAATAGAACAAAAGCAAATAGAAAAGTTACATAAGATGTTCTGTCATTCTAGAATCAGAAACGTTTACATAAGGAGATACTGAGGTGTTGGTAAATAAATCTTGTTTAAAATAATAATATTACACAAAAATCAATGCGTCGTGGAAAGATATTTTAAAGAAAGAACATTTCTATTTTGAACTATAATTTGAAAAACTAAATAAAACTTTTATTCATCATCATAGCAAGATAAAACACTATTAATAAGTTAGAAACATTTTTACGAAACGCCATATAAAACACTATTAATAAATCAAAAACATTTTTTACAAAACGCCATATAAAACACTATTAATAAATCAAAAACATTTTTTACGAAACGCCATATAAAACACTATTAATAATTCAGAAACATTTTTACGAAACGCCATATATACAAAAAAAATTACGTTAAAAACAAATCCAATAGTAAATTCATATTCTAGATGTCTGCAGGTTTATTCAAGAGAAAATTTAATGTAAGATGTCCAAGGTAGCTTTATTGATATTCTAAATTTACTCTTAGTAAGTAGCTACAAAAAAATAAACTGAAATATGGATTTAGATTATTAGTATTTTCTGTTTAATACAACTAATTATGTTTTGGACAGATGACTTTTTATCATTATTGCTTTCTTTAGCTTTTATTGTAAGCTACATAAGATATCACTATTTTGAATAACTACATTGCTTTACTTAATCATCTAATTATTTTATCTTATTATGAGCACATTTTTTAAAATCAATTTTTCATATGATATCATATATTTCATTAAACTTTCCCAAAACATATACATATATTTATTAAAATAGCTTCAATCCATCAATAATACTTAGTAATGTGATTTTTGACACAAAAGAGGGGAAAATATCTTTGATCAACGTTTTTCTATGTGTGCCCTTATTTCTAATCGTATATCTAGACGTCATGAGGCTTATGAACCTAAACAATAACCATATTTTATACTTTTCCTACTTTTGTGTAAATTGTTATTTATTAGAAACTGAAACGCTTCTCTTTATCGATTAAGATAGTAATTTATCTCCAAAGTTTGAATTCTTTTCTTTTCTGCAACAAACAGCTTTTCCATATTCCTAAAGAAAGTCATTTCCCTGTAATTTAAAATCAAATCCTACAATTGTTTTGGTAAATTGTTATGTGTGGAAATGCAAAATCTAAACTTATCTTTCTTTTTAAAAAAGAGATAAAAAAATATTTTAGAAGAAAATGTTGTTGTTTTTCTAAACGGCTTTCCGTCCCCCC